CTAATTAAAGTAAGAAAATAAGTAAATAAATACATATCAAAATAACTAATTACTTTTGCAGCAAATAAAGTTTGCTAAAAAATTTTTTATGATGAAAAAAGTTGTGCTAATTCAAAAAGTATGTAAATTTGGGACGGAATTGTAATTTTGAAAAAATATGCTAATGTGAACTATTAATAGTTTGATAATTAAAAGTTTGTTAAAAATAAGCTGGAAAAATTGAATTATTTAAGTGATAGAGTCATTTTTTGAATGCTTCTAAATATTACCTTCAAATATTTCTCGAACACTTCTGTGTAATAATGATGTATTAATAATGGATGTAATTAATGCAGCTACTAAAATAGTGCGTGAACTACACGTAACTCATTTCAGAACTACTTTTATTAACAAGCTTAAAAAACAAAGTTAAAACTTTAGAATAATTAAATGAAAAATAAATTCAAATACAAACGCAAAGACCATAATTTAATCAAAATTTACAATAGGGATACTATTGTTTTTGTACAATAATTTTGGAAACTTTTTGCAATAATAAATTTATCAGAATTTAAACTCGTAAATTTAAAGTTTTTGCGATCTTTTTGCAAGAATTTCAAAATCAAATTTTAGACTGCAACTTATGTATTAATGTAAATGCAAAGTTTTATTTTTGTTTTGAAAACTTGTGTTCAAATTAAATTCCATTAAAGTTAAGCTAAGTTTATGCTTAAAAATGACAAATCCATGGACTGAGAAAAAGATTGCAATTTTAGACAATGCCATCAGACTCTCAAACTTTATCATACTCTCGGTCATTAGCTGATATGCGAATTGAGCAGGGTTATCACTTGGATAGACTGCGATCAAAATTAGCTAGTTTGGATATGCGCGATTTAGTGCCACTATTGGTTGCTCGACAGGTGCTATGTTATCAAGAAATGAGCGCAGTTTATTCCATGGTAATTAATTAATCGTTGAATTTAGTTTAAATTATAAATATTGTTGTAAATTGTGACTCACAAATGATAATGTCATGTGTTATTTTTCCTCCGCGCAACAAACATTATGAATTTGAGGATTTTTTATGCCAAAAAATGGTTTCGCAGTTTTTTACTGATTATATTTACAGTTTCTTAAAAGTATTAATTCAAAACTGCTTTTTTTTGAATTACAATTCAATTTCTGAATACATTAAAAATGATTTAGTTGAGGAATTCATTCCATTAATAGTTTGAGCACTGATAACCGAACTCAATGATAAGATTGAAAATTTTGTTTCACAAATTTGAGTTTATGAAAAAATTTGAAAATTTTCTTGCAACTTTGCTAAAAGTATAATTATCAATTAGTAATTCAATACTGGCAATTTCTGACGTTTTTTCACTTAACTGCCCGAGCAAATGAGTATAACAACACGTTTTGCAAAATGCCGTGATAAAACTTAACAGATATTTGAAAAGTGAAAGCAAAGCTGTTTCGTATTGATGGATAATTGAAAACTGATAAAAAATCAAAACAAGACAATGATTGCACTCACTTTTTAATAATAGCGTCAGTAGTGAGTGAAAAATTTTGCATGCCGATTATTCCAAAAATTATCGATTATGAATTTAATTTCAATAATCAATCAGTGATACATTTTTGATCAATAATAATGTTTGATTCACGCAGGCAAAACGTGAAGATCAAGTGGATAAATTGATAGAAATACTGAAAACAAAAAATCACTGGCTTGGGCCTCTCATCGATAGTTTAATCCGAAATGGTCAAGCAGCACTGGCTGAAGAGCTTTTGGCCACAAGTCGCACAACAGCTAATACATCGCCGGATTCACATTTTGGACAGTAAGCAGTGATGGATTTTTGCATTATATTTTGACAAGAAACTACTGTAATGTATTTTTTTCTAATTTAAACGAATAAAAGCAAATTCAAAACTTTTCACTGATTGGAAAAGTGAACAATTTATAAAATTAAATCTACCATGTAGTTTTATTAAAATAATAATAGTAATGATAATAATAATACTAATATTAATGCTAATATTAATAATACATTTATAATATGTATTTATAAATAAAAGTTCAACAAAATTATTTTTGCATTACCCAAGTCAAAGTTTTCTGAAATGAAATTTTCAAGAACTGAAGTAAAAAACAGGAAAAATGCGTGTTGGCCTAAAATATAAAAAGTGAGCAAATATTTAAAGCATTGGAAACTTTGTGCCCAATGCAAATAGAAAGATAATTTGATCAAATATGAAAAATTATTAAAAAATGTACGAGCATTTAATCAGAAGTCAGCGAAAAAAGTTAATTTCCATTCGAGATTTTTTTCCAAAAATTTTTCAATTACTGAAAAATAAATTAAATTAACTGATATGTTTTAGAAATTACTAAACTTTCAATACAAATTAATTTCAAAGTTTGAAACATCAGAAAATTTACAACTTTTGCAAAAATGCTAAATTATAAAAACTGAAAAGATCATAAAAATTTAGAGAGGAGATCAGTTAACCAAAAAACCAAAAATTGCACCACAATTTTGGTTCCACGGTTACTGAAGATATTTAAGTTCTAAGGAATTTATTTACACGCACAAAATTTTTTTCTCCTTTTTTTTGCATTTTTTCAGCTCATAAAATTTGGTTTTTAATTATTGTAATTTTCGTTTTATTGCACAAAATATTACCTCAACTTTGTTACTAAAATACTTACTTAATTATATCCGAAAATGCATATTTATGACTGAGAGATAAAAGAACAGAAAATTTTCCTTAGCACAAAGTGTTGATTTAGACTTAATATTTGAACTTTTGTGGCTTTTGTAATTAATAATTAAATTTTTTTTGACAAAATTTATTTAAGAAAAACTTAGAATAATTTTTGGTATGCCATTTCGGTAGTGAGACTTTACTGCTACTTAAATAATAATATTTGCGATTTTTAATGCAAAACTCATTTAAAGCTATTTTTTCAAGCAATTTGCATAATCTTGAACACAGTTTATTTGTAAAATTTATAAATTATGCAAATTATCTTTTCATATGATGAGTACTGTATATAGGAGATACGTTACGTGATAACACGAGGTACATAATATACAATCAATGGAACAGGCATTTATATGAATTAAATTTGAATTAATATTTTCATACAAAACATATTATTTGACAATAAATAATATCGCACAAATTGGATCGAAAATCTCCCTTCTTAAAAGTTTGATCTGAGATAAAATTTGCTTAAGAAGGATGTAAATAAAGTTGTGAAGTACAATTACAAAGTTAAATAGTAGGAGCATTATGAGTATTTCGTTAATTAATTCTTAACAGTATATAAATTGGTAATTCAGTTCTATAAATGGAAGACTGACTCATAACCCTAACAAAACTAAGTAACATTTTGGTATAAAAAAACATGCAAATGAATTGAAAGATAAAAATGGAAGAAACCAGTATATTGATAGTGAAATTTTGTAGTTAATAATTCTTTAATTGTTAATTAAAGTTGGAATTTTGATCTGTAATAGATGCAAATT